ACTGAAAAAAGGGACAGCTTGTAAAGTTGAGATAAAAGCTGGAGAAGGAGTGAAGGACCAAGAAAAGACAGAAAGTGGGGGGGATGAGAGTTTCCCAGAGGCTGGATGAAGAAGAGGGGCTGGCCTGAGTGGCAGTTCAGTATTCAGGGACCACCGCCGTGACAGGATGACTGACAGATTGATAGAGGTTGTGCTACTTCATCACATCCCGAACTCTGACCCCCAATCAGTCACACCAGTTACTTTCCTCTTTCTGTGGCTCACCGTGAAGACCATTCCCCCAATTTGTATGGGAAGCATTACAAAAACACCCACATGGAGTGGTTAAAAAGCAAAGAAAGTGAAACATAACTCGAATAACTCCCTCATTTGAACGAACACAACATTTATAGAAGATTGTGAATTGAACCCACAGTGCCAGATATGGTAAGTACGGTTAATCTAAAACATTACAATAATCGAGCATTTTGAATGGATAAATAACTAAATGAATCCTTCATGTGGGTGAGACACACCTTGAATACCTACTTTATTGGTGCATTTAAGCTGTTCAGATATCTTTAGCTGTAAAGAGCTCAATGCTGTCTAAAATGTGGTTTCAGGTTATGGCGAGACAGCCAGGGCACCGTTATGATATAATACATCAGCTTTTCCCAAACTTAAGACTGCCGCGGTCCGCTTTGAAATAAAAAAAATACTCCGGGGCCTGTTATAAAAATGTTTTTATGACTCTAACTTTCAGTAAGGGTAAATTATTGGACATGACAACATGATATTATGGCAAGATAGACACAAAGGTTTACTAAACATTATGTCCATGAATAGTCATGACAAAACTTACTAATCACTTAAAGGGTTGACTCATGGTAAATCGTCATTATTGTGATATTTATTTTATTTTTAAAATTGGTTGAGGGCTTTTCGCGGCCCACCTGCAGTACCCACACGGCCTACCAGGGGGCCGCGGCCCACACTTTGGGAAGCACTGCAATACATGATCCGCTATGATACAGTACGACATGACGCAATACCCACCTAAACCCGGAAGAAACAACCTTTTCATGTTCATTTCAGTGCGATAATATGAAACAACAAAAGCAAAATATTGTATTCATATTTTAACCCAAAATGTCTGTAATCAGTCATTTTCTTCAGCTGTATGGTAGATATATTTTCGACCATTCTGACATCAGAGGAGTACTTCCTGTATGGTCGATATATTAATCTGTATGGTTAAGGAGGAGTTTGGTCCTTGGCTCAGACTGTCTGGAGGTGCATTTTTTCCATTTTACAAACAAAGGCGCACATTAGGAACACATAGAAAAAAAAAGGGAAAAAAATCAGCGTTTTGAGCAGATTAGTTAAGAATGTGTAACCATAGCAAACAAGGTGATGATGATTACGTTCAAATAAACAGCACGTTGAACCAGATGTAAGCAGACTGGCCATGAAACAGTTAAATCGCTCGCAGAACTCGAGACCACAGAACCCAAGTGAAAGAGGGAACCTGGCCAAAAAGAGGGGGAGGGAGGTGGTGGAGAGAGGGGGAGACAGGTACAAAGAGAAGAGGAGGAGGAGGAGTGGGTGGTTGAGGTGGTGGTCTATGCTCTGTCAGCAGGGAAAAAAGGGAAAGTAAGGAAGAAGAAGGAGTGAATGAGCAGATTGTTGCCTCTTGTTGGGAGTGGTAAAGTCCAGGGGGGCTCCTGGGACGATGTTAACATCAATCACAAGTGTGTGGCACGTGTGTGTGTGGATGACTGTGTTACTTTGTACAAGAGTGTGAGTCACTCAAATCTGGTGATGTTGTACAAAAGACACATAAACATGCTGGCACGCCGGGACCTGAGCTGACCGGGAACACTGGTGAGCCCCTTTCTGGGAATCAAAACCGTCCTGGTGATTTAGCTGTTGCTAATCAGACACAAAGGTAACAAATACGCTGACAAGTAAAAGGTCAGAAAGCGCTGAAAAAACACTGCGTCAGGGGGATGTTTTACTCTCGTGAAGGAAAGTAGTCGTTAAAAAGTGGAGGCAGAAACGACCTTGGAAGTCAGCAGCCAGGCCCCAAGGCGAGCTCACACACACATGCACAAATTAGTGGAAAGCAAGGCCACTGTGCATGTATATGTATGAGAGTATATGTGTGTACGAGTGTGTTGTTAAATCCCTCGACAAACATGCTGAGGAAAAGGAAATGAGCCTGTATCATGGACAAAAGTGATCAATCTAAAATCAATTGTATTAACCACAGCTTTCTAACCAACAGGGAAGGAACAATAAACCCAAGGCTGTAAAAGAAAGGAAAAAACAGGTCTCATGAGAGAGAGGACAGACGTCAACACTCACTGTAGCGAGTAATGGGTCAAAGGGGAGAACGGATTGCTGTGGAAGGATGAAAAGTACCGAAATGAAAGCAGAAAGTCGGGGCTTTTTTCTGCGAATACAGGATTAAGAATAGCCAAAGGGAGAGATTTAGCACCGTCACCCGGGAAAAAATAGCAAGTGCAAAAGCATGGATTACCAGTATATATACACAGGACAGATCAGTGTGGTTCTACAGCGAGGGAACAGCTACATGCTTATGCACCAAGGACTTCAGGGAAAAGCTTTGGTGCTATAATTACTGCCTATCTGACAATACCAAAGCTCTAATGTGGCTCGAATGTAAGCTTTAAAAGATGCTCCAAAACCAGATTTCTTTTTCCAACTCTGATTTTAATACATAGGCTTTAGTATCAGACATTACCAAATACCTATTATTCCAATGTGATTAAAACATGAAGGTGTTATTTGTGATAAAGGACGGATTTAAGACATTTTACTGGCTTTGACTAACATTTATCTAGTCAAACACAAACCTAGGCTGATACAGAAACGATGTCCCAAATTATTAGGGGACAATGTCTCTGTGTATGCAACCAACACACCTACATTTTCAGCAGGATTAGAAATGTAAACATAGACTCCTTATTTTGACAAAAAGGGTCAAACCTAAACTGGTTGATTCTTGGGGTTGGGGATTTGGGTTATGGCATCAATTTGGGGTATGGATAGGTTTTATACTGATACGAGTACCAATACAATTATTGATACTTATGCAAGCAATAATGTTAGACATCAACAACTGACTGTTGATCAGATGGGTTGATTCTTAGAGGTGTGGTTCTGGTATTGGAGGCTGATACTGATACCATTAACAATACCAACACTGGTACCAATACCAATATCGATATAAATAATGGTACTTATACCATTATCGATATCAATACTGGTACTACTGATACCATTAACAATACCAACACTGGTACCAATACCATTATTAATACCAATATTTGTTTGGATATTGGAACACATCTAGTAAACTTGTAGGGTAAACTTTTGTGTTGAAAAGTAACAAACTTAAGATACAATAATATTAAAAAAATCAATCAAAATATTTCTGATATTTTACTGGCTTTGACTAAAATGTGATGACAATAATATTTCATGTAACCAGTGGATTCTTGAGGGGATATTGGTAATGGTAACGTACTGGTGCTTGATGGTATCATCCCATTAGTGGTACTGATACTATTATGGATGTCATAACAACTCCAGTAAACTTGAGGGGAGAACAGTGTGTTTATCTGTGTGTTTGCAAACCACAGACAGAGAGTGTGAGTCCCACACTGCTTGATTTTGACACTGTCTGTTGGTGATTGATAGTCCCAGCTTTGAGATTGATTGAATATCAGCCAGGAGTCTCTGTTTGTGCTTGCCCGTCTGGGTGTGAGAGTAGGTGTGTGTTTATATGCATGTAGGAGTCTGTTGGTGGAGTGTAAACCTAACCCCTCTTTGTATCCAGAGCCATTTCACCCCGGCCATCATCAACCATAATTCTAATTGATCCCCACTTATTCCGACTGGCCCCATAACCCCGACAATTTGAGCTCCAATTTCTCCTCCCTGAGCAATCCATCTCTCTCCCACAGCGTGACCTACTGGGCAGGCCTCAAGTTACCTCCTCTGTCTCTGTCATACACCATTATTACTCGTCTTACAACGTGAAATATGAACACCCCAACGTCTCCCTGACATCCACCTAAACCCCACTGCGATACCTCTTGATTTAGTAGACACAGCAAACGTCCCCGTCCATGAGGTTAGGAATCTTTGTCAGATGGGAGGATATTGCAACAGATATTTCAACACCGTGCACTGTGAGTCAGACCTGTGCAAACCAACCCCAAAAGATGTGACCTTTGCCAAGAAAAATATTGTTTCAGCTCATGAATGAAGATGCAAAAGCCACACAAAAACACAAAGATACATTGACTTTTTATCAGTGTAATTAAAGTGAATCACTGCTTCGTTTTCGATGCATTTCTGCATACTTGGAAGACACATAAAAGTGCATAAAGAATCCAAATAAGGTGAAGCATTTGCAGAGATCCACTCATAAAAGCAACCCTTGCATTTATCTCCACATGCACATCTGCATACACATCGGAACTCACTTGCTTTAAAAACAGGGAAACGCTGTGCAACTGGCGAGCTTTCCAATCCCACAAGGTAAATAAATGACACAACCTGATGCAAGTAATCCCTTAGCCAGATTGCAAAACAGATTGAATCTGAACGGGTTGGACTAAGTAGCACAGGTAAACAGCAACATAATAACAGGTTTGAGTCTAGAAAAAGAGGGATGGGGGTAGGGAGAGAAAGAGACTCCCAACTGTCTTGTATTATCATGACAACAGCAGCGGGTCTCCATCACAAATTCATCACAACAAGCTCGCTGAATATGCATGAGATGTAACTCCATTAACGTATCTGGAAACAGATCCTAATGACTCAATCTGCGCGGAAAATCAGGTTAGAAGTTCTTCCCTTTTTTGAGATACGAGGCGATTTGGTGTTTGCGTTTAATACTAAAGAAGAGGGACAAAAACAAGTGTGTGAAGCTGTGAGTTCAAGAGCAGTGATTTAGAGTAGGAAAACAGAATTTAAGAAATATTTACTTTGGATTCGTGCTGTTCCAGTAGACGCTGTGCCGCTCCGCTGAAGTGAACCGAACGCAGACGATCACCACGAAGCCCACAATCCAAACCAAATCCATGGTGGAGAGGAGGCGTGCAGAGAAGAGACACACAACTCAGGTAGGTTGTGCAAAAAAAAAAAACAACTTAAAAGTTCACCCAGGAAAAGCTCGTCCAAGAATCAAAAAAGAAACAGAAACAAAAAAAACACACACGCTATCTATGCAAAAAGGCTTTCGGGCGAAAACTAAAAGATTTATGTTGGAATCGAAACAGAATAGAGGTCAGGTTAACTCGACAAATCCGTAGTGAATGAAAGCCTGGGCAGCGTGGTGACTGGTTTTGTGAAACGCCCACAGCGACAAGAACCGCCCACTATCCCCGAGCAGACCAATCAGAGGGCTGTCCGAGAGCCGCGAGCTCCGCAGGTTCCTCTGGATGTGTTTTTGTGCACATAATAACGACTCCAGGCAGTTTGTACAGTATGTCTGGATAAAACAACAACATTTTAATATTTATTTTATTTAAATTATACATTTATAAATCTACAGATACTTGTGGAATGTTTAGTGTCATACTTGAACCTTTAGTAGGGAGTCATTTTTACAGTAACTCATTCTTTTCTGAGTCTTTTTCAATATAAAAAAGCAGTTATGTTATAATTATGTGCTAAAAAAACCATTTGCCTTGATACTGCCCTTATGTACAAAAATGTGCTTCTGATACTTTTATGAAATCCATCATGAAATAAAAAACAATAAATGGCCATAAGAGAATTTAACATCTCATTGGTATTTTTTTATATGACACACACACACATTTCAAGCTGCAAACACTTTTGTATTGCATTTACATACGGCTGTAGCATAGTGTTGTACAGTTGTTCCACTTCAGTGGTCCATTTACTTCTGTGTTCAGATCTCCCCTGAGCCTTTTATCTATTTGAAGTGCACCTCCTTTGCCTGAGTACTGGTTTTGCAACATTTTGCATGTTTGCGCGATGATTCCTTGAAATGATGTTGGAGCTTTCATCTGATACAGTATGTCTTCTTAGACTGTCTGGTTTGAGCACAGACATTAATGGCCACAATAGCTATGCGTGAATCTTAAGTTTATTCCAGAGGTTTACAATTTATTTAAAATAAAATGGTTAGGATGAGTCTCAGGGCTTTGTAAATAATGTATATGCTGACAATAAAACATCAGTCAGATTGTGCTTTCACAGAGGCACGTAACCTCCATGCTGTCAGATACATTGCAAATCCTGTGTCTCATTTTCTGTTCCATTGACATGGATAATCTGGACTGCGAGCGGCTTGTTCAGCCTAGTGAGCCATACTGCCGGAGGGGGTTTTTTCCGAGCCTGCTTCTGCTTGACATGGCACCTTATTTGCTCTGCTTGCTTAGCAGCATAACAGCTTTCAAAGGTATCACTGCAAAGCAAACAAGAAAAACCAAAAGTAAAAAAAAAAAAAAGAAGCAAGCTCACTCTGGATAATGAATCTAAACAGATAATTGCACAGAAGTTGGAGGATTGATCTGCAGGATTCTCTGCAGGGGATTTGTTCCTTATTTAATAAAGCAGTGAAGGAATGCAAAGAGAGGCAGTGAGATAAACTCCTGATGTAACCACAATGTAACTCTTAATCTGAAAGGTATCCTATTTCAGAACGTGTGAGTCTCCATGCAGCCCTGAGAGGAGGCTTTGGGGACTTCATGTTTTTGCTTAAAATCATTTTATCTAGATTTTGAAGGTCCTGTGAGGTAGTTCATAAAATGTGAGAAGGTTACGGCTGTCAAAGTTGCCCTGACAGTTTCATGAGATGATATCACTGTCAGGTAGATAAATCAGTTGTATTTGGGATGTTTAATTGTTCTTATAAACCCCACTCATCTGCTGCTCAAAGCCGATTAAAGCAGCCAATAATATCTTTTTGCCTCTCCTCTTAACCCAGGTCCACTTCTGTGCTGTGTCGTCCTCATCTTTGAATAATCACCCACACTATTCCGTTTATATAAAGCTTCATTTTCATTATTGACTTTATGCAGCTACAGACTCAAGAGGACTCCTGTGTATATTATCGCTGAAATATTCTGTGCTCAGTGGTTGTGAGTGCTCACATTTGATGCAATCTGCATTTTAAAATGTCTGTCCAAACTGACTAACACTCTCAGATCTCACAGTGCAAATGCAGAAAGACACATATACAAAGTAACTGTGCTCCATTCAGTGTCAAGCAGGTCGTCCAAAATGATGTGATTGGTATTCATGAAGAGCAGCTCATCCCTGTGGATCAATTTTTTAGAGTCCAATTGTTTTCTCCGGCTCGGTGGGAAGATAAGAGGGTGAGAGGGACTGCGGGCGTAATTGTCATTTGCATCGCAATCGAAAACTGTTGTGCGAAAAAAGCTTTCAGCGCCGCAGACATTTATGTCAAAACTCTATCAGGAGAGTGGACCTTTAATTTCATACCGTCCTGAAACTCTGAATGAGTAAATAGGGAGATGAAGTGGAACAAAAGTGCAGCTCAGACCAGATTTATACACAGAGGGGACACACAAACTCACACGCATGGAGCTCTGCAGGCCTGCACCGCCACACACACACACACACACACACACAAACTACACGCAAGTACACACATAAACACAACCCTTCTCACCTCAAGTCCTGACAGAATTTGTACTGAGGCTGGTCCGTGGCATGAAAATAAGATATAGGAAAATGATAGGGAAACAGTTTCATGTAGGCATGGGAACTTTACTATCCCTATTTTTTTTTTTTTTTTTGCCCAACCGATCTGACCAGAGTAATTAGATGATGTCATCGAGTTGCACTTTCTGTGATCCTGAAAGAAAACCCAGAAAAACAGAGGATGTTTTTACCTCTGACTTTTGACTTGTATACACAGTTATACCAAACTTATTCTGGCAAAGATTTCTACACAAAACAAATCACATGCAATGATGAAGTACTTGCATGATTTTAAATGGTAAATGGACTTAAGCTTGTAAAGCACATTTCTAGTCAGACTGCTCAAAGAGCTTTTACACCGCAGGTCACACCTACACATTCACACACATTCACACCCATTCACACCCATTTGGCTGCTATTTAAAGTGTCTATCAGTATTATTTATTATCTCAGTATTATCTCAGTGATGAAGCAGCGATCAACTTGGGTTAAGCGTCTTGCCCAAGGACAAATCGGACATGTGACTGCAGGAGCTGGGAATCAAACCAGCAATCTTTGGTTGCGACCGACTATACCACTTAGCCACAGTCGCCCCAGGTGGTGCATTTTAATTTTGCCTTATCTGCTGTTTGTGCTTTTCCACGACCTGAGCGGCCTCTAACAGATGTGCAGTGAGGAGCATTCTTGTTGCCACTTTCTCAATTCTTCCCCTGTAGCATGTCTATTAAAGTAGAAGTGTTTGGTCCCCCCTCTGCGTGAATACAAATGAGAGGTTTAATGACACACTGTCATCATGCACCCATCCCCACAGAACAGCCCACCATCTATTTACATAAGTGAACTGTGTCGGCTCTGTCCACTCCCTGGTTTCTTGGTTTGCTTGGTCCATTGTTAGTCAATGCAGCTCCTCTGCAGGAGTCGTTCCTGCACCTCGGAGCTCTTTCTCCGCACACAATGCCAGTGAAGTGTTTCCTGTAATTAGCACTGCACAGGTCTACTTCTAAATTCACACGCTGTAAAGATTGATATCTGTATCTCAGACATGTCAATTAACTAAAAATAGAGTAATAACACAACAAGAGAACAACAACAGTGTAAGTATACAACAATTCTAAATGCAAAATTCAACACAAAGTAAACAGCACATGTTTGAACACCAGTAGAGTGTATAAACCTCGTCTTTCCTGCCCCATGTGTACTTTTGGACATCTATTCTGAATGCACATTTGGGTTTAAAAACTATTGAAGTTGTTTTATACCCACATTGACATGAGTCACTATGAAAAATGTAACAAGCAAACAAGATATTTCCTCTTTTTCACATCTTTCAAAAACGTTTTTTGTGTACAACATCTTCAGTGTGGTAAAGTTTGTATCTTTGAGTTCAATGTTCAAACTGATCCCCAAATCCAGCACACAAATATTGAGACCTGTCTTAAATTGTGAGTTCGAGCACTGAGTTTTTTTAGGTTAAGGTTTCCTCCTAAATCTAATATATTTGTTCTTCTTTAAGGTCTGAAGTGATGCATTTCTTGTTTTATATCTGTGCTTTGTAAAATTCTACCAGATCCATGGAGTTGAAGACATGTGATTTAAAAAAATTAAAGTGCTGCTTGGTTTGATCCTTAACACTGATGGTTAATGAAAAGCCAAACCATCCATTACTTAATAGTTATCCGGTGAAGGACAAGTTTGTTCATGGCCTCGTTTTTGCTGCTCCAGCACTAATGTTGATTTTCCTTTTGACTCTCCTGAGGCGATAGACTCAAAGTTAATGATTAGATGGAGCAATTTTAAAACAAAACAAAGGTAATCAAGGAGTAACTGTAGCGTTACAGAAGAGAGATGGAGTGGTAGTGTGCTGGTTCTTAATTAGCTGTGGTTAATTATCAGAGGTAAACAAAGAGGTGGTTGATTATGCATAGCCGCATCCAATGATCAGGGTTCAGGTTACACCGTTAAGGTGACAACTCAGCGAGTGGCCGGGCAGTCTCTCTACGCTGAGGCGTTTAGGGAAGCTCCCACACAAACACACTGAGACACACAAAAATCTGTACGCCTGCAAAAAACCGGCAACACAAGCCAACACTGAGAGACAAAGAGCAGCTGAGGAGGAGGCGGTGAGGAGGAGGAGGATTGAGGAGAAAATGCAAACACATTGTTAGATAACGAAGAGTATAAGAGCAAGAATGAAAGCAAAAGTGAGGAGGCGTGTGAGATGAGAGTGAAGGGCTTAAAAAGGATGCAGTTAAGGAAGACAATATGCAAAGAGAAAAAAAGGATGCAGGAGGGAAAAGAGTAAAGGAGGGATGTAGCATAAGGCAACAATAAACAGATTTTCATAGACAAATGATGCAGGGAAACCTCTGTGCAGCTAATTAGTGAACAAGTTAGATTCACTGACCCGTAATTATGGATTCTTCCCTTGGGCTAATTGAAATTTTAGAGATGTAATGCATCACTTGGAGTGTCAAAATCTAGGGAAAGTGGAGTCTGAGGTATTGCAGGTGACTCATAGACGCACAGATGAACACGTTATGGTAATTTTGGGCATCTACTTACAGTTTCAAGCAGTGCAAAAAAACATGAACTCTTTCCCACGTGAGACACAAACCTACACCT